CCTCCTTTCTAAACCGTCTCTTCTGATAAGTCAACACTTTCATCTGTTGTAAGACATCTATTCTTTTCCACTCAGAAGTAGACTTTGTTTCTTCAGAAGTCACCGCTATTTTAAACATCCCCAAAGATTAATTTTCCTTTTGCCTATAAGCTTGCTACCTTTGTATACCAATAAAGGAGATGATCTCATAACTGCATTGTGTCTTTTAGCTTTTATTTTATTTCTCCTTTCCCTTCTCTGGTCCAACTTAAAAAAAAAATAGACTAAATCCATTGTCTCTATGGCTTCACTATCAATTTTTTGCTTAAAACCTATATTTGTCTTTGCCACTGTATTACTAGTGCCATTTTCAAGTTTATCCAATTATCCATCCAACAAGTAGGCATCTGCTATTATAGCTCTTAGGTTTTAGCTGCTGGGGACAAACTGAAGCTGATGAACATAAAAGATAGTCACTTCTCTCCCAGAGGCTAGTGAGGTACATAAACAAGTAAGGCACATTTATGATAGACTGTGACAATTGCTATGATGAGTAAAATGCCAAGGTGTCATGAAAGTCATGGTGGCCAGGAACGTGGTGGTCAGGAAAGGCTTCCTGGAGGAGGAGATGTGTACACTGAGTATCCCTGGATGGGAAGATGTTGGATGAATGTGAAAGGAACAGGAAATGTTTCATGCAGAGAGAATTCAGGCTCTAAATTAGAAAGGACATGACACATTCGAGAGACTAAAATTAGTTTAATAATACTTAATGTGAAGTAGGAGGAAAGTGAGTTCAAGAGGAATGGTGAGAGAATACAGTCAAGAAAGAGGCCAGAGATTTATCACAAAAATAATGGGGAGACAAGGAGTGACTCTATGAAGGTAATAGCAGCATAGGATTTGTGTTTTTAAAAGGTCAGTTTGACTGAAGTGTGGTGAATGGAGTGGAAGGCTGGGGCGAGACTGGAGGCAGGGAGGTGAGGAAAAGACGAAAGGTGGGGAGGCTTGAAGTAGGGACACGGCAGTGACGGCAGAGAGCAGTGGGTGGATTCCAGGGACAGGAGTTTAGAGGACTCGGGAGTATTTGGATGTTGGTGGTCAGAGAGAGTTAGGCATCAAAGATGGCTCCATTCACTGAAATGGGAAACAATAGAATAAAAAAGTGATTTTAGCTTGGGACAATACAAAAACAGGTATGTCTGCTACATTCAAGTGAAGAATTGGGCCTAGAAGTCAAGAGAGAGAGACGGAGCTGTAGACCTGGAATTCATCAGTCCGTAGGAGATAAGTGACAACTTCTGTTTCATCTTAATGCCCCTGGCCACCTCCATTACTCAGGACACAGTTGATCATCTTCTCGATCCTTGTTCTATGTTTGGTGTCTCAACAGTTCTCCTTCCTACTGAGTGTATCATGACCTCAGTAAAGATAAAGCTTCTTTCCATAGTTTCAGGGAACTTATATTGAGTCATAAAAAGGAAGAAAGAAAAAGAAGAGGAGGATGGCGGGGAGGAGCAGAAAAAAGAGAAAAGTCCAGCATGGATCTGTGGTCCACCGTCTCAATCCATTCATTCATTTAACTTGCATTGGTTATGGAGCAACTTCTCCCATGTGCCAGACACATCTATACTAGATTCCATGCTGGAGAGACAATGGCGACTTCGGACACTAACAAGTCGTTTGGCAAGGTTCATTTTAAGTAAATAATTAATCAAATTAATGTATAGCTATAATAAGTGCTATGAAATGAACAACATCTAAAATCTTGCTACTCAAAGAGTTGTCCATGGACAAGCAGCAACAGCGTCATCTGGGAGCTTGTTAGAAAAGCAGAATCTTGGTATCCACCCAAGAACTTCTGAGATAGGATCTGCATTTTAACAAGATCCCTGGGGGATCTGCATGCACATTAAAATTTGAGAAGCAGGCTCTAGAGTTCATAGGGCTGTGAGAGAAAACAGCAGGTGGACCTGAACTCCTCTTGGTCAGGGAAGGGTTCCCTGAAAAAATGACCTCTGATTAGTTTGAAGAGGTAGTCAGGGGCTGGCTGGGACCAAGCCTTGTAGGTTCTGTTGAGGACTTTCATCTTTTTCCTGAGAGCAACCCAAAGGTATCTGAAGCTTGTAGTAGTCTGCTCAGGCTGCCGTAACGAAATACCATAGACTGGTTGGCTTACATCACAGAAATGTATTTTCTCACAGTTCTGGATGCTGGAAGTCTGCAACTGGGATGCCAGAATGCTTGGGTTCTGGTGAGGGCTCTCTTCCTGGCTTGCAGACAGCACCTTCTCACTGTGTCCTTATATGAGCTCACCCTTGTGAGCTCATTGAAACTTACCTCCCAAAGGCCCAGTCTCCAAATACCATCATACTGGGGGCTAGGACTGCCACATAATGAATCTTGCGGGGATACAGTTCAGTCCATAACAAAGGTTTTCAGCAAAGAAGTGTGGAAAAAGCAGATTTTTGTATTTGAATTCCTATCCTGGCTGAAGTGTGGAAAAGAGCTTGAAGGCATCAGAAATATATTCATATTCAGAAAACCAGCTAAGAGGCTATTTCAGTAGTTATGGTAAAAAAAAAAATATGGTAGCTTGGACAAAGCTGTATTGGTAGAAATGGAGCAAAGTGAAATATTTCTGAATATTTAGGTGTTAAACTTGACAGACTTTGATAATGGGTTTCAAATGGTGTTTGGAGGAGGAGGACTGAGAATGACTGCCAGGTTTTTGGTTTGTGCAACTGGATGAACATGATATGAATTCTTGAGATAGGAATCATGAAATCAGCAAGTTTGTGCATGGCATCTTGCTAAATGCAATGAAGAATGTAGAAATAACAGTAAGAATAGCTATCATTTAGTGAGCATTTATCATGTGCCAGCCACTGTATAGATGTTTAGTGTACATTATCTTCATTAAAATACGATGCAACCCTTGCTTTTTGAGAAGGAGAGATCAACTGGGCAGCTAGCTCCAACAAGGCTACATTGTTAAGGGTTTAAGATGGTCTGGCACAGTAAACAATGCAGAATTCTTTCAAAGGAGAAGAGCATCAGAGAAGATAATGTGGACAGAGAAGACATGAAAGAAGAAAGAGGATGTGAGCGAAGGTCTAAAGATTGAGTGAGGCAGAAATAAGTCTGACTCTATCTGGAAGTTCATTTAGGAAAAGAGTGGAGAAAAAGTTGAGTAGAAAAAGAGGGGCCAGATTAGGAAGGACCGTGAAAGTCTATAATTCGGATTTTATAGAAAAAAAGATTTGAATATCAAAGGAACATGACTTTACCTGATTTAGGAAAACCTGTCTGGCAGGAGCAGATCTTGAAGATGAACAGGCTTGAGTCCTCGAGGCCATTTTATTAGCGTTCATATTGTTCTTGTTACAGGTCAGAGTTCTGGACTAGCTGGGAGGAAAATCAACTAGACTTGATTTCATCAGAAGAGAATAGGGGAATGAGTCAAAGATGACTAAAGTTTCAACAATGAGATTTGGGAAATGGTAGTTTCAAAATTAAGATCAGAGAGAGACCAGGAAGAGGATATTCATAAACCTGTGATCACCCATTTCTATGTAGTATAATATTAAGTATATTAATATTTAAAAATCATTTTCTACCTGTTTGACCACAGAGCAAATTTAAATTTCCATAAAAATTATACTAGATGAAAGCCTGCAAGTTATAATATTTGATAGATTTTGCATGGGGATGAAAAAGAGTATTATTATATGTATAAAAACTGAGAGGAATAAAGCATGGTATTCTGTTGAAGAAAGTAGGCTAGGAATCATATGAAACATTGTGTTTTTAAGATGTAATTGGAAAATAAAAAGAAACCATTACATTCCACCCTAACTGTTACTTCATTACAGATGCACTGAGCAGTTGCTTATAAACAATAGTGCATTGGGTTCGACCTTTCAGATGAATAGAAGCTTTGTTCCTGCCTGGGTATAGTCATATAACCATCATACTCAATTTCTTCAATACAAAATGTTGTTACTGTGGAAGGAAAATGTATGCTTATTGTGTGTTCCAAATGCCATATGTCTTTGTTTTTGTTTTCAAAGCATGCAGAAATACTGTTGACTGGAAAAAAATAAATAACCCTTACTATAACCTTTCTATTTCTCTTTTCCTGCTTTATCTCAGGGAACCCCCGCACCTCCTAGAACATCTTTTGTGGAGTGGCACCTGAGGGTGCCCTTCAGATCACGTGCCATGTGTACCCAGCAGTAAACATCTTCCTATAATCATTGCTTTGTTGATGACAATGTGGGCCAATGCACAGTATTCATCAAATGGCATCTAAGACGGTTAAGGCACACCTAATCCTCTCATGGGTGCCTGCCAAGAGCACAAAAGGGTAATGTACAGATAACAATTTTATTGTTCAGCATTCCCTAATTAAAGTCCTCAGTGGTCTGAAAACTTATATGACAGGTATACGGGCTCCAATAATTAACCAGCGCAGTAACAGATGTCGTACAGGAAAACTGTGTGTGCTAGGGACATAAGCATGTTTTGATTTTGAATATGCACTTGGGCTAACACAGTCGCCCTCAATAATGGAAGTCATATGTTAATATTTTGTAAGGTATCCATTTCCATGGCAGACAATGAATTGCTTTTCCTTTAAAAAATATATACATGCATATGCTTTGTCAAATGGTATAACGACTTCAGTTTCCTGTACAACCTGGATTTCTTCTGAATCTGCAGGGTTTTGTATCCTCAAAAGTATTTACAGTGCATCTGCAAGAGTTGGGCTGGCTGTCTTCAGGGGTGTTTTCTTGAGCTACCCCTCTCTCTGTTCTGCCAATTATGTGCCACTTTGTCTTGGTGCTATGATTGCTTTCTTCTGAGAGGGAAATTCCTCTTTCATCAGTATGGATGCACTGTTTTCACACACTGCAAGTGCTGTGTTGCTGTGTCAGTCATCCTATTAGGGCCAGTTTCAGACGAGCAAGGCTGACGAACTGGCTGGGGATTGGCTGGCCACAGCTGGGAGGGATTTGTCGGAAGGAAGGGCTGCAGCTTACAGCAACAGAGTTTAGACTGTCTTTGCTTCATCATCTGAAGGTAAAATTTTCCAGATACGGCAGACGGCTTTCAGAGCACAATAAACAGGGACTGAGAACTATTTACATGGAAATCTCTTCCTCATGATGCAGTGGAGAAGCCTCGGTCCCTTGATTCTGCCAGATGTTCCTGGGGTTACTGTACATGGGAAGGACAGGCAGAGCTAAACAAGGTAGGAGAACCACCCCCCCAACCTTTTTTTTTTTTTTTTTTTTTTGAATGTTTAAAGAGTTTGCTGCAGTATTGCTGCATTCCATGTGTGCTGCTTAGGGAAGCCAGGGAAACTGGATTCCACTAATTCAAATGTAATACTTGCGGGGGACCCTGGAGTTTTACGTAACATTTTGATTTGAGAAGAAGAAATGGCAAAGCTTGAATCTATGCCGCCTGTTTGGAGTGAGGCATAAAATGGAGTTTTTATTCAAAGAATAAATCCATTTATTATTCAAAAAAAGTCAGCTGAATGCTTGGGAGCATTCTGATTTTCTTGTTTACAGAATATGTTCATACTGCCATAGTTAACTCCCAGATAAATAAAGTTTATATTGATCCTATTATTTGAAAAAAGACTTGCAATTAAGAATTAAAAAAAAAGAAAAAAGAAAAACCTCCTTGGTAAATAATCATCAATTAAATGTTTGGCTCCAAATATGTCTATTTATTAGAAATGAGGGACCTACCTAGCTCTACAATGCCATGGCTTTAATTGAGTTTTGAAAGCACATTTTTACCAACCTAGCAAGAGGTAGCTTTCTGGCAAGTTTTTGATACTGTAGTTCAATGTTTACATTTCTTTTTCTGGCATGTCTGAGTCTTTGTTTCCAGCTTAAAAGTGGAACCATTATATTCAAAAGTAAAGCTGGGTTAATAATGCTTACTGCAATTATCTGATCTTTATGCATTTTTAATGAGAACACACAGCCAGCAGAATAATTTAATGAGGGCAGGCTAGCTTTTCAAGCCGTGTTTTCACTGTGCCGAACCATATCAACTTTCTTGCCGAGAAGCAGCCGTGAGAAATGATGAAGAAGATTTATTTTTAACACACTTGGCCCAGAAGAAGGAAAGGGTATATTTGTTAAAGAATTCTTTCTGCCCTTTTCCGTTTTAAATTTCTGCCAGGCATGAAGAAACTGGGCTTTTTTGTTAGGCCTCGGAAGCATGTGTTTACAATAAATGTGTAACATTTTTAGAATAGTTAGCAAGCACTGAAGCGAAGACAAAAATCTGACTTGCCTAACCACTGCCACCGTGAATGTTCTTCCAGAAACATTACTGTCCCTTTAAAAGACAAAGGTTAAGTGTAAAGATATTTGTTAGTTGGGCAATATGTGTATGTGGGGGATAATAAGGTTAAAAAAAAAAGAGAGAGAGAAACAGTCTTATAATCCTTAAATAAAAAGAAGTTTCTTCAGCTATCCTGCTTGTTTTCTGAGGAGCATTAGTAGTGCTCATTTAAATAAGGGCAAGGCCACGTAGATTCTTCTAGACCCACTGTTTTTACTTTCAAGGAGAAGTGCAGGACACTAGCCCAGAACTTCTGACGTCATTCTCCAACTATTTCTGCTGTGTGTTCTTTTATTCGGGCTCGTGGAGAGGAATATTTCTTTATGTCCTGGCCAGGAACATTCTAACCCCCAGTTGGCAGGACCTGAGCTATGTCTTCATATTTTGGCCCATGCTTTGTAACCCCTAAACTGATCCCCTTCGTAAATGGGGCATCTTCTGCTACCTGCCTCACACCGGGCCGGTCAGCACAGGTTTTCCTAAGGCTTCTGGCTGGGCTGGCAAATAGCGGCGGGGAGCAGAGCACGGCTTTTTTTTCTGGCCTAACTTCCCCTTGGTGCAGTCCAGCACTGCCGCCTGGGTGGACAGTCCCTGGGGCCCCATGCCGAGTTCCCCCAGAGCTATTATTTAGGATCCAGGCTATGCCACCAAGTTCATGGCTGGTCGTGATGGTGGGAACAGCTGCTTTTATAGAAAAAGCTCCATGTCCTATTACAGATGGCCCCAAGGAAGGGAAGCTCCAAGCTGTAGGCTGTTAATCCCCTGTCACAGGTGGCAACCTTGGCCCCAGAGATCTGGCAGGTTAGTGTTTACTAAGGAGCTTTTTATGAAAGCATTTTGGTTAGAACGCATTGGAGTTCTCGGGAGTTCCCATTGCTAGTTTGTGTCCTCCTTCTGAGTACTTATGTAGCCTTGAGCAAGCGCCTTCCTCAGTCTTTCTTTCCCTTAATAGAATTGAATAATACTTGCAGCACTTTCCCTCATAATTCTAGCTTTCTGAGAGACCTTGACCTTGTACCAAAAAAAAATTGTTTTTAAAGTTGTTTGTCTCTTGGCACAGTGAGCTATTTATAGTACAAAGGGATAAAACCTCGGTATTAAGAAACTGTTACAAATACCTTAGGGTATTAAGATACATAGTCATATATACAAAACCCTTCTCTCTACTTTGTGCTCATGTAAATTTCCTAGGGATATTCATTCCTAGAGCAAAAAATAAATTTTCCAAGGAAACCAGAGCATTGTGGTTTGCATTTTCTCCATCGATCTGGTCTAATACATAAGACACTCTGCAAATGAGACTATTCAAGACATAAGCCTTGTAGTGTGCCCAAACCATTTAGTGCTATTTTTGCTTTGACTTTTGTATTAAATTTGTGAAAGTGGAGTGAATAAGAGAAGAAAAAAGAGGAAGGGAGAGAGAGAAATGTGCTTGTGAAATATACTGGTTATGTAGCTTTACTGATTAACAGCCTGCCTTCTCTCTGCTAGTTGTTTTAATTTGCTGTTGCTATGGTGAAAACAAATCAATATCACATGGCTACCAGCCAGTCCGGTGCTTGGGGAGCGCCATAGAAATTCAAGATCAGGTACTCAAGATTCCAAGCAAGAATTAGGAGGAGAGGATTTGATACTGAGCTTAAGAGAATTCCTTATAGTAGAATAAGTATGCTCAATCTTGTGTGCATTTTCTCTTTCTTCCGGCACTTTCCTGCTGATAACAAGAAAAAGATGGGAAGGAAGGCATATTTATTTGTTTACACTTTCCAAAATGACAAAAAAAAAAAAAAAAACACTATCAATGTAGAAATAGGTTGATCACATTGCAAGGGGTAGAGGATTCTGACTAATAGAAAGATGGTATAACTTCAAGACGTGTTGGTTGTTGAAAACATAGTTTGGGGGCCTTGAACATCTCCAGGTACAGCTGCACTCAGGGCTGACTGTGTCACAAACAGTTACCTCTCGCAGGCAGGTGGGCAGTGAAGGTGAGGGATGTTATGGAAAGGTAGGCAGGTCTGAGCACCAAAGTCAGCAAAATCAAGAGAAAGCTGTAGGTCGAAAGTCAAGCCAGGTAAGCACAGAACCCCAGGGGCATGGCCGAATAGGGGAGAGGACATTCACTCTTGTCACAAAATCTGCCCAAGTCCCTGCCTTCAGGCCCAGTGAGGAAAGAGAAGTGAAAGGTGTCATGATCTGCCCAGGTATCCTTTCTGGAATGGTCGGCTGAACCGGATGGACACAGACATCCACGCCGCAGAGCAAGGAACTTGATATTTCATGCTTTGGTTTCTCCTGGAAGAATAAGATAGAAAGACTTGGCCGGGCTTTGTAAATGAGTTAGAATACCGGGTTTTTTTCCCCAGGTTTTTACTCAGCTCAGTTTTTGTTTTTCAAAATGTGCACAAATTGTTGGTTGTGGCCGTGCCATTCCTAGTAGAGTCCAGGGCGCCGCGTGGCTGGGTCTGCAGCAGGCCTGCGCCTCCCATTGCACTGCACTGTTTCCGGAGCCTGGTCCCGCCTCCACGTCCGAGAGTGAAAGCAGGTGTGAGGTGAGGCTCAGGCTGTTCTGTAAACCAGTGCTCCGAGGCCGAGGGACAAGCTTTCGGCCGGCTTGTTCCCCTCAATATGGCAGGAATGCTTGGGAATAAAAGTGTACGAAACAACTTACCCTAGCGTTTTGACAAAGAATGCATTGTCTAAGGAGTCTTAGGTAGTATATTCCATCAATCAGTCAACAAGTGTTTATTAAACACCTCTTGGGTTCCCTGGGTTTTGCTATTTGGTTAGAATAGCAAGGCAGTTACCTAATATCACCTTCGTGTGTGTGTGTGTGTGTGTGTGTGTGTGTGTGTGTGCGCAAAAATAAGTGATGCAAAAGTGTAAGTTTGAAAGACTTTAATAATAACTCTATTGGCTAATGTTAATTTAACATTGTTAACCATCAGACATTATTTTTTTTAGGCTTGAAACAGTTTTGCTGTTTGGAGGGAGCATAGGAGAAAGCATTTTGAGTTTTAGATCTCTATATGTGTGTACTTTCTTCATGTCTATTATATTTCTCAGGATAGGTGCTGTTTGAATAACATATAAAGATGTAAGATGAGCAATAGACAAATGAGAATGCTGAAAAAAAAAAGTAATAATCCAAAATATAAAACTACTGAGAGCAATCACCGAGTCTCAGCAAACTGAGTTTCAGCCCCAAAATGACTGGGGAACATGGCACATCATCTGAAAAATCCTAAATGCCAGTCAGCAACAGGAAATCTGTCCCATGCTTCTGAGCCGCAGGTGCCTGCTGAAGCCCCCTATGCAATGCTCTCATCACGCCCATCTCTAGCCAGGAAAACTTAAAAGCAGATTTACTTTTAAGAAATAGATTTTCCTTTTTAAGCACTTTTTTTTTTTACCCTAACATTAAAATCAGTATGTATTCTCTGGGCACAGTCAAGCTGTGATATTAAGGGACCTAGCTTGGGACAGAGATAAAAGAGGAGATTGAGTTTGCAGCCAGCCTGCAAGAATTCTCAGTCATGGGTCTTGGCAGACAGATGGCAGTTCCCAGGTTTGGGAGCATCTTCAGTGGGCACACCGAGTGCCGTGGAAGAGCTTTGGGGTGGTAGCGCCCTCACAGGAAAAGGGAGGAGGCAAAAAGGCTGCCAGTCCCTGTCCCAAGCAGTTTGCGGTCCACACTAGCTGGGAAACACGATACTTACCAACAAGGTCAGAATAGTGAAGTACAAAAATGTCTTCAGAAGGATAATTAGCATATGTGTAGTTCCTTCAACTTACAAAGGGCTTTCACAGGCCTTATCTCAATTAATAGTTCAAATAGAGAGATCTCTTCTTCAGCATGGTGAGGATAGTTAATGATGACATAGT